GCCTTACCCTGCACCCGGACAAGAATCGGTCTGCAGCCGCCGACGGCGCGTTCAAGCTGCTCCAGCAGGCATGGGGGGCGCTCTCGGTCCGCCACCCGCCGGCGCCCACCGTCACCGCGGCCACGGGAGTCACCAAGCCGCGCTCTGCCCCGACGCCGTCGCCGCGACCCCGCCCACCGGCGCCTCCCGCTCCGGCCGCTAAGCGCAGCAACCACAGCCGACCACCATCTCCGGCCGCCAACAACGCGCCCAGGGACGACGACAAGCGGCGAGCCGGCGCCGGCGACACGTCTCACAGCCGGCCACCGCCACCGGCCGCCCACGCGCCCAAGGCCGAGCAAGCCAGCAAGGACACGCGTCACACGCCGGCGTCTGACTCTCACGCGAAGCCCGGCAACCACAGCGGACCACCGCCAGCGGCAGCCTCCGCAGCCCACACGCCCAAGGACGAGGGATCCGGCACGGACACGGACACGCCGCCGCGGCGCCAGGGGAGCAGGAACAGCAGGAGGTTCCCGTGCCCGGCGCGGTGCGCGCACTGCGGCGCGCGGTTCGCGTCGTCGACGGTGTCCGTGGGCACGTGGCACCTCCACTGCAAGGCCTGCCACAGGTACGCCAAGGTGTGCGTGCGCAGCCCCTCCAACGCAGAGATCTGCAGGTGAAGAAGCTGCAACCACGATGGAGGTGACGGAGCAGATGATCATATCCTAGATTGGTATGCCATTTTCAGTTCACTCGTCAATGTTTCCTTCCATTTTCTTCTTCTTCTTCTTCTTCTCAGGAGAGGATGTGTGCTGCGTACGATCGTGTTCATGTCTGAAATCCTCGGCGGCCAAGATGTGGTGCTATATAATCTAATAGGTTGGTTTTGAATTTGAAGTCGAATCCTCTGAAGTCTGGAATCCTTCACTGTGATCTTTTGCTTTTTTATGTATGTTTTGTTACTTGTCTCAAGGTAGAAGAGGAGAGGAAGACATGCTATGCTGTATGCTATGTGCTCACTTGGTTCGGGTGGTTTGTCAATTTCCAGCACTATTCCTTGTTTAATTTCGTTCTTGTTGCGCTCAGTGTCCTGTCCCAGTGAAATGATCAATTCAACGTTTCAGTGCTAAAACAGATCCGCTCTCCCGGCTGGCCAAGAGGAAATAGAGTACGAAGGACGATCCTTATGGAAACAGTTGAGTCCAAATCTGATCCATCTTGCGCAGGTACCTATTAACCGGAACCTCATGAAAAATCATGTCTCCAACTTTCAAAGTAATAGTGAAAATTTTGGTAAAATAATAAGATTATATAAATTTTATGTTTCACTTTCACATGGCCCATCACCATCATTGACAGTTGGACATGCATATTGCATTGCACAAAGCATAACACAAATTGCACTGCATTCCAAATCAACTACATCGATCGAAATGATATAACTACATTTTATCAAAATACTGTTGGAAATATGAGCAATTTATCGAGTGATTTTATTAACAGAAATACTAGATAAAGCATGACTAGTATAGCAGTGATAAAACAAGCCATGCGATTTGACAAAGAGAAGTAAACAACATCTTCATATATGTACCGTAACTAAACATATCTTGAGCAGACAGTATAGCAAGATGCATATATGAGATAGAGTCTAACATATCTAGAGCAAATACTAGAACAAGGAACTGTAGCAGAACCTCTAATAGAAAGGGGACGAACACGTACGGGGTAGCAGCAGCAGAAGCGCTGGACTTGGGGTTGGTGTCATCGCCAGCCATGTCGTCGAGGAGGTCGTGGACGTCGGGGAAGTAGTCGTCGGAGTCCGGGGCGTCCGTGACGAAGAAGCCAATAGTCGGGCGAAGCGCTCCCCAAAAATCTTATCACCCTTCTCCCGTACAGGACTCAAAAGGTGCGGTTTCGGAGGCCTACTGTCCCGACCTGCGGTGCACGCCGCAAGCCGGGATGGGGAAGATTGTAGCAGCAGCGCGGTGCTCAGGAACTGTGTGGCGAGAGGAAGAGGACCTTCTGATGTGTCTCTCGGGAGAGGAGCGACCTCTCTTATATAGGCACAGGAGAGGGACGCGAACATGCTGCGCCGGGAGGTGAAGAAACGGAGGGAGACGAAGTGAACAGGCAGCACGCGAAGAGGTGCGCCATTCGTATTCATTATCCACTACCGCAAAAACTTTTCAGCTCCTAGGTGACCTTTCGTATACCCGTAGTGCGTGGCAAAAATTAGACATTGGCTCGGCTCATTCCCGCAACCCGCGGCGCGTCGTGGCGAGGCGTGGCGTGGCGGGCGGAGGAGGAGGAGCGCGCGTGGATGTCTCTCTTGTTCTCATGCTCATACAAGTGGGGAAGGAGCCTCCCTTATAAAGAGGTCCAACCCCCTCTAAACTAGCAATGTTGGACTAAACTTTAGTTCCACCTCTTGCCTTGCACGAATGGGCTGTGTGGGCCTCTAGGATTTATTAGGAATTTCTGAAATAGTTATTGGGCTGCCCAAATAGACTAAATTCCAGCAATCCCCCACCAGATCCCAGAGGCACACAGAAATTTGCCTTTGGTTCCAAAACACTGTTTTATATACTGGTACTGCAGTGGAGACTGTTAAGTTGAACTTCCACCTAGAACTCTATGCTACACTAGTAAGCAACTTGAACAGTGAACTGGGCCTTGAACTGCAAGTTTTCTGCTAATCTAGCTTCACATAAAGCCTTGACCGATACGTGGCTACCGTGGGTCTTCCCCGCGGGTGGAGCTTATGCGTCATACTCCGTGACCTTTCATGAGTTTACTAGAGAGAACCCTACTCTCATAGATTGCGACGTTTGACAATCAGACTCATATAGGTGTGTTCTTCAAAAGATGTTCTGCAGGATAACATCTCTGCTTAAATGAGCCACTTAGAACACATTAAGATATACATCAACCTGCCATGCAGATTCGGAGAGTATTGCATCTTCATGGAGTGGTATTGTGAATAGTAAGGATACTCTCCTCTCAGTTGACTAACAGCTTGTCTTCCACATCTAATTCACGGGATCTCCGATCACAAAGAATAGATTACCACTATGAACAACTCATATTGTGGGTCTCATTCCCATCTCCCTCGATGCACTATCTATCACATTACGTGATAGACCCTTAGTAAAAGGATCTGCCAGACTTTTAGACGTTTGGATATAATCCAATGCAATAACTCCGAAGTTTCTCATTTTCCTGACAGACTTTAACCTTCTCTGAACATGTCTTGATGACTTCATGTTATCCTTTGAGCTACTCACTTTAGTGATCACAGTTTGATTGCCACAGTTCATAAGGATACCCGGTACAAGTTTCTCAACTACCGACAAGTCATTCAAGAGCCGACGAAGCCAATCTGCTTCGACCGTAGCTGTATCTAGTGCTGTGAGTTCTGCTTCCATTGTTGACCTCGTTAAGATGGTCTGCTTGCAAGACTTCCAAGAAACAGCGCCACCTCCATGAGTGAATACATATCCGCTCGTGGCCTTTATCTCATCAGCATCTGAGATCCAGTTTGAGTCACTATACCCTTCA